CCCGCCGCCACCCGTTGCGGATCCATGGGAGAGCCTGTACCCGTGCGGGGCGAGGTCGCTTCTTTAGGGTGTCCCAAAAGGTGGGATGTGGTGGAGTGTGAGGACGTGCATAGAGCCCCGGGGAGCTGTGCTGGAAAGGGAGGCGGGTGGAGGTTACCCGTGGGGAGAACGTTTGTTTGGTATGTGAAAAGCTGATTGTAAACACCCTCTTGGATGTATAGGGTAAGATTTAAGCTGTGGTCTGGGTAACAGATAAGTGCTGGCACCTGAAACTGTTTTATGCTCTTGCATTGTGCTCTTCAAGGCAAGTCTTGTCATGATTTACCCCTAATTACCTTGAACTCTCATAATTTTGTGTTATAGAATCCCAGGTTAGATGGGACCTCAAGGATCCTCTGGTCCAACCTGTCTTGGAAAAAGCACGGTCTAGACAAGATGGCCCAGCACCCTGCCCAGCTGAATCTTAAAAGTGCCCAATGTTGGGGAATCTCCCACTTCCCTGGGGAGAATATTCCTGTGGCTCATTGTTCTCATTGTGGAAAAATTTTGCTCTTGTGTCCAATCAGAATCTCCGCAGGAGTAACTTGTACCCATTACCCCTCATCTTTCCCATGTGACTCCCTGTAAAAAGTGAGCCTCCATCTTCTTTGTAGGCACCCTTTAAATATTGGAATGTGGTGATAAGGTCTCCTCTAAGCCTTCTTTTCTCAAGGCTGAACAAACCCAGTTCTTTCAGTCTTTCCTCATGTGGCAGGCTTCCCAGTCCTTGGATCATCTCGGTGGCCCTTCTCTGGACCCTCTCCAGCCTGCCCACATCTTTTTTGTGCAGCAGGGACCAAAACTATACACAGTATTCCAGATGTGGCCTGACAAGCCCCATGTGTACTTATGTACTTATTTGATCATCAATTCAACAAAAAAAAACCCAACCCCAGAATAATTGATTATATATTCACCACTGACATATGCTTTCTCTTACAGAAAGCCAAACCTCCTAAAGAACAAACAAGTGAAAATTTTGTCTTGGCCCGCAGACAGAAAGAACAGGAACTTCTTGAATATGCTGATTTCTTAAAGCTCCACAACCAGTGTCGCTACGTCCATGAGTGGCAACGACACAACGAACAAAAATGGCTGCACAGCGCTGCACAGAGAAAGGTGGATGCGACAATGCGGGAATACCTGGCAGGGACCGATGAGAGAAGAGAGCGGTAGCAAACAAGTAGATAATACCAATATCTGCTCTACTATTTTCAACTTAACTGTATGCAAGATAAAAGTAGTAGTATAGCACTTTCATTGCTTGATTTTTAAAGAGAATGAAGAGTAAAAGTGTCAGAAGCTCTTAACTGTTGGGTGTAACTGAGGGTTTTATTGCAACATCATTAAGTTGATGTTTAGGTCCTACAAGTAATACTCTGCAACACAGGTAGTTGAAAGAAATGAAAATTCATCAGAAGTTTTTCAAAAATAATAAAGTTGAAGCATATTACTGTTGTAAAAAACAGAATTGTGCTCTGTTGATCTTAGAAAAAAAAATCATATCATTTAATTTCTGTGTTACTCTTTCATGTTAAGTGACTTTGGAGTTGTAAAGGTCGTCAGTTTGGTATCTTGGTTTCATGTGTCTTCACAGGAATTGTACACCAATTACACAGAATAGCTGAGGTTGGAAGGAACCTCCTGAGATAATGTAGTCCAAGCCCCTGCTGAAGCAGTCACCTAGAGCAGGTTGCCCAGGACTGTCCATTTGGGTTTTGCTTATCTCCACATATGGAGACTCCACCACCTCTGTGGGCAACCTGTTCCAGTGTTTGACCACCCTCACAGTAAAAAAAAAAAAAAAGAGGGGTTTTCTTGTGTTTTGTGTTCAGGGGGACTTTCACATGTCTTCCTCTGTGTTTGTTGCTTCTTGTTCTGTCACTGGGCATTACTGAGAAGCAGCTGTCTCCCTTTTCTGCATTCCCTCCTTTCAGGTATTTATATACGTTGATAAGATACTCCTGAACCTTCTCTTCTCCAGGCTGAAGAGTCACAGATCTCACAGGAGAGAGAGATGCTCCAGTCACTTAATCATCTTAGTGGCCCTTCGCTGGGGTCGCTCCACTAAGTCTGTATTTTCCTTGTACTGGGAAGCCCTGAACTGGACCCAGCACTCTGGATGAGGTCTCATCAGTGTGAGAGGAAGGATCACCTTCCTTTACCTGCTGGCAGTACTCTTCCTCATGCAGCCCGAGATGCTGTTGCCCTTCTTTGCCGCAAGGGTGCATTGCTGGCTTAAATTCAGCTTCTTGTCTGCCAGGACCCCCAGGTTCCTCTCTGCAGAGCCACTTTCCAGCCAGAGCCACTTTCCAGTCAGTCAGCCCCCAGCAGGTACCGATGCATGGGGTTATTCCTCCCCAGGTGCAGGAATTTTGTTGAATTTCATGGTGTGGTGTTTTTTGTTTTGTTTTGTTTTTTAAAGCTGCTTAGGAGCCCCATGCAAAGAGATTCAGCTCAGTATGTGGTGAAGAGGGCACAACTCAGTTTCCAGAATTAGTCAGTCTTTGGCTTTGCTGCCGTAACTCCCACCAGGAGTACCAGTGTACGTCCATAGCACTATTGCTCATGCATCCCGTTGTATAAAAGTGAGAGTGATTTCTCAGAGGCTGCTGTAGCATTTGGGCTGGAATTAGTGAGTTCCTGGATTTCTTGCTCCCAGGTTTGTTACTGCTAGGATTAATAGAGAGGTAAATGGTGGTGTGTTTAAAAATTGCCAATTTGTCATAATTTTCTCATCAAAGATCTTTCAGGATGAAGTGATTTATGGAGTGATGCTAAAATAACAAAAGGTAGTTTGAGAGAAGATACAATTATAGAGGTGTAGAGAAGGGTAGTAAATACTGGGGAGGGATTATGCTGAAGAATAACAATAGTATAAGAGCAAATTGATATTAACTGGTGACAAATGTAGCCTGCAATTAGAAGAGTTTGTTTAACGGGGGACTGAAGTTGTAAAGCAGAATTGGAAATGGGTTTGTAAGATAAGGAGCTTAAATCCTGCCAGGACAGAATCCCTCCCGTTGTGCTGTAAGATTTTCTCCATGGGCACAACAGGAATAACCCCTGAGTTAAAATTTGATGTTCCCTTCTTTGGCATTTGCAAGAAGTGTTGAAAGGAGCCCAGTACCTATTTTGTGCTTGTAACAAATAAACTAAAACTTTATCACTCAACGGAAGGATTGTTTTAGCTTTTATTTAAATGTTTTCATTACAGGCTTTGTAAGCTTCTGGAGGCAGAGGAAAGTAGGTACTTTGCTGAGATGGAGGCACTTGAAGAAACGGTACAGGAGAAACACGGAAAGATGAGGGAGTGAGCAAAATTACTGAGAGAGAAGAGAGAAAAAGAAAGACAACAACTGGTGACTGAAAAACGAGAGCAGCAATTCAGGTATGGTACAAAAGAGAATTTGGGTTAAGTAAATACAAGGAGGCAATTTAACAAGAAGGTGACAATAATAAACTGAGGAAGGAAAGGTGAATGCGATTGAAATGATAAAACAAACAAAAAAATAAGGTGATTTGGATAGAGGTGTACGAGCTTTGCCAGAAGTTGAAAGGCCTCAGCTATGCTGCATGCAGTGGAGCAGAGTATAGTCTTTTTCTGACTTTTAGTAAAGGGGTACAGCCTCTAAAGATCAGAGACCCAAACTGGTGATGCTGTAATGCTCAGTAAACTCTCTGAGGAAAAAAAATTCATTAATAGAGATGAAGGCAACAGATGCAGAGAACCGTTCTGTCGCCATTATGTGATCTAAGTGTTGAGGTACAATGAAAACATTCTTCCAACTGCAATGCTGAAATCCTTGTCCTGTGTGAGCATCCCTGCATTTTCACCTGCCAAATCAGCTGCTTTTGTAATTCTTTGTCCTGGCATATAGTTCTATTTCAGCTTTCTATTACTGGAATGAAGAGGGTTCATGAAAGGCCAACTTGGCCTAAATAGTGCTTATTAAGGTAATACATCAAAGACCCTTGAAAAGTTAAGATTGTCCAAAAAGACAGTGTTTTATTTATTGTGTACTTTTCAAGCTAAGGTTTTAATGCAACCACGAGTTCTGTGCCAAATCTTCCTGGATGCTGAGCTTAGCAGCATCTTTTGAAGTCATTAAGATTTGTAGGTGTTTCTCAGGCCCTGAGGCCTTGGCATGACATCTGACTTGTTCAGTTCTTGGAAATCTGGTTTTCAAAGGAAAGGATGAAAATAATATTAATGTAATTTGATTGTAATCATTTGAAGTGTCTCTTCCCAGTCTCCCACAGCGCTATGGAAATCCGCAACACCTGCTTCTTAGTGTGCGGAGGCTAGGGATAAAAATCAACTCTTACTTTCACTTCTGTATAAACTCTAACTAATTTCACAGATAAATGTTGGTTTCTTAAATGTGGGGTTCATTGACTGAGACAGGTGTTAAGGCAGTGTATGCGCTTCTAAATTTACATGCTGGCTTTAAAATATGGCCTGTGCAATTCAGACTTTCTAGTTTTGTTCCCTACCCACACTCAGTGGTTGAAATTCACCTTTAAAATTGTTTAGAGGAACAAAACTCTACTGGAGGGCCTTTTATTTTGTACTTGTAGCTTGTCTTATGTGCCAAGGAGAAGAGATTCGGCTTGTGATTTAGACACCTAAAGGTAGGTATCTAAGTGTCGGTATCTATATTCGCTGGGAATCTGAAAACCTGTTCTACTCAGGAGACCTTTGTTGAGATCAGGACAGTTAAAGGAAGCTAATGTCATCTTAAAGTAGGCATATACTGGTCTGCCAACTGAACTGCCCCCTAGCCTCGACTAACTGCGTTGATTAGATTCCCGTTGATCAGAATGGACATTTAGTTCACATGTAGATTTCTGTCTAGATGCCTAATTTTAGACATTTTAATTGTAAAATGAATCCCACTGGTGAATCTCGTCATCTGGTGATACATACTTGGACTTTCATGCTGCAGTCTTAATGTTTCAGGTCCTCTTTCTTCCCGGTACAACCCTATTGATACATGGTTCATTCAGTCTCATGGGATCATTCCCATCACCCTTCTACCTTTCCCAGTCTGCTCTTGGATCTAAGCAATATTCATGCCATGTAGTATCCCATTAAAAATTGTTGCTGGAGCTTTACTAGGTGGTGTTCTGCTGGCTGCAGTTTTTCAGAGGATTTAGAGGCAGTGAAATCCTCTTTCGTCACAGGTGTTGTAAGTGGCAATCTTTGAGTATCTTTGCAAATGAATCTTCATCCTACAGTGCACAGTGTCCTTCTCTTTGACTGATGTCCTGATGGAATGGAAATACATTTTCGTAGTCAGTTCCTCCCTTGTGTTCCTCTAGTTCTGTCTCTTTCTGCTTTTCAATTAAGGTCCTTATAAAAACCCAAAACTTTAATAACACCAGCTGACGACAGTTTACCTTGTCTGTTGATCTCTCCTTTGAAAGACAGATACCTTTCTTCATGTATATGCTTACTAATATTTTAAAGTCTTTTCTTCTCTGTCCTTTTCCAGTGAGAAAGGAAGTCTCTACTGTGGTGATCGATTCAGATTAGGTTAGTAACTTCTAATATCTGAATCTGCATGTATTTGTCTTCTTTAAGTGGCCCCAAATCTGTTCTTCCCCCACTGTTAGCTGTTACTCTTCCTCCTGGTCGGTGCAGAGATCTGGGAGCAGGCTTTGCGGCTCAGGAGACCAATGCTTACTGCAGATCCACAACCAGAAATCTGTAATTGAGTCACAACCTGTTCTCTAGGGCAATGGTCTCCAAACCTTTTTGATTGTGCAACCCTATAAGTAGAACAAATTTTTAGCACTCCCCCCCAATAGCTGTACCTATTTATAAATTATATATTTGTACAACTGTAGTAGTGTATTATGTACGTGATAAAACATATGCAAAAAGAGAAATTAAAGGAGAGTGAAGTAAAGATGAAATAAACACTATTATTATTTTTAATGTTATTTATTAATGGTACAAAATGTATTTTATTCCTGCACCTCAATGGATTGTCTTGTACGCCCCACTTTAGAGACCATTGCTCTAGGGCACACCCAGAAGAGCCCTGGGAGGTTATTTCAGTAACAGGTGGATATAACGTTATTTTCTGTTTCTCTTTGTCTGCGAACTTACAACTATTTTGAATATCTTTCTGAAACCTTGTACAGACTTCTTTATATTTCTTTTAACTTCAAGCAAGGCGCTCCGCTCTTTTGCAGGTATAGATTCTCAAACCTGAGCTATAGGAGCACCTATAGTGCACAGCACTATATTCCAGAATACTAAAAGGCAGCTCTTTTATCAGCTACGTGGGCTGGTTTTGGAGCTGTAGCCTGAGGGTATAGATTTGACAGCTTCTCAGCAGTGATGTTAGCCAGGAAGAGTTCTTTGTCACGAGATGACAGAGGGCACAGTCCTTGGAGCACCGCTGGAATTCATTTTCATGAAGGGCTACAAGTTGTATGAAAAGATGCTCAGGCAGTTTTAGCCTGAGGGCTGTGTTCATCATTGGGATCTTTAAAGAAAATTGCGATGTCTTAAAATTTGCATAAAACACATATTACATCCTCTTTCCTGTGATAACATCAGAAGCATCCATACGAGAATATTGTTATCACAGCAACTTTGTACTGCAGCCATAAAATGAATAAATAACAGGGGGTGGAGGGGTGGAAACAGATAAGTGCAGATTGTGTCTTTGGAAAGTGGCTACATACAGGCACAATTTTAATGTTAAGAAGCTTAGGATAGCAAAGTGAGGAAGAAAACCAGCCATCTGGGGGAGCAGATGTTTATAGGTTGCTGTAAAAGCTGCTTTGAAGGAATTATTTTGATGAAATCAAGCAATTACAGGGTTATTTTATATTAAAATTTGAACCATGCTGAACTTTTATTTAACTTCTTTTCCCCTCTGAGAATTCAATTAAATTCAGATTAGTTTATAATAATGAAAAAGAATAACTAATTCTTTATTCCTTCACTGCTGACAGAACTTTGAACCCATTGTGTTAGGGTAATAGTTATTTCTAATGGTGTAAGATTTCAAATCTTAATAATGGCTTGTTTTGCTCAGAACATTTGAGAAATATGTTTTTCCATGAATGCTAATTAGTACCGTCGTCCGTAATCGCCACTAACTCCTACCCATGAGTTGGAAGATAGATCCTAGTGTTAAAATGTAAGAAAACTGGCAATGAGGTAGTGCATTTGTTGACCTGCTTGAAGGCAAAGGCACCTCTTGGGAGTGTGCCATTGCTCATGGCATGACTGTCGCTGTGCTGCTCGCTGCTTTTGTTGTTGGGACAACCTGTGGTCAGAAGGCTCCCGTCTCATACAAGAGGGAAACCAGCAATCTGCTCCTTCCTTCCTGTATTTCCTCACTCTTTTCTTCTGAAGCTGAGCTGAGGATGGTTCCTCACTCCAGGGACAGTTTCTCCTTTAGAGGATGCAAGCCCAGCTCTCAGGGAAGAACCCAACGTTTAGTTAGAGGATGCCGCCCGCATGTTTGGGGAGGAAAAGTGCTAAGTGTGGGAGGTTTTATTTTATAGCGACTTTGCGTTGATGAAAGGGGACTTGACAGATTAATGTTGTTTATTCTCAATCGGGAACAGTTAAGAGGTTAGAAATACCTTCTGGATATCAAGCAAAATGGCAATTTCGTTTTCATGGCGCTGCCCTCCCTTTTATTGTTTGTGTATAGTGCTTAGCGCCTTTCACCACAGGCTCTGTGGCATTAGCTACTTTACAAACAGAGGATGAAGAGAGATGCCCCAAGCCCCAGAAGCTTACAGCTGAAATGCGAGGCAGCAAAAAATGAATGCCGACAGGAAGGAAAATGTGGGGAGACCTCTGCTTCTGCCTGAAATTGTGTTCTTTGGCTGTATCTCGCTCCTGCAGCACCAAGGACAAGCAAGGTGTAGCAATCCTTCCCCTCTGCAGTCGCAGCTCTGATTTTGCACTGCTCCACTGTAAGTTTGACTGGTTGGAGGGCTCTCACCGTGGCACTGAGAGCAGGGTCAGGCTGGCTTTCAGCGCTGTCACTTTTTCTGTCTGTCACCAGCTTGTTCAACTGGTTCTGAACTGGAGGAGGGCGATTCGTAGAATCATAGAATCGCTAAGGTTGGGAGGGACCTTTAAGATCATCAAGTCCAACCATTAACCTACCCTGACAAAACCACCTCTAAACCATGTCCCTAAGCACTACATCTACCCCTTTTTTATTCGGGGAAATGCTCTTTGCGGTTTATAAGCCCTAAGTAATTTTTATTAGGCTGGCTTACCATGGAGTTTTATTGGCAAAGCTTTGGAAGATCTTGTAAGCCAACACGTAATTATTATGCACTGGTAGTTACCTCGACCACATTATCAGTGATACCAGGAGCTGTGCTCATTAAGTGCTTGTTAGTGGGAGGTGACGAAGGAGCCATGTCAATAAAGAAGTCATTATTCTGTAGCGTAATCGTGCTAGTTTTAGGGCAGAAATAAGTTATAGACCACCAGTTGCATCCTGTTTGCCTCATGGCCAGTGGATATAGCTACTGACCTTAGGGAGAGGCCAAATTTGCATCGTTTCTGTAGTTTCTGTGGAGATATGAACCCATGGCCCTAGACTGAGTATAACGCTCCTATTAATTCTATACCCGAAACCCAGGTCAGGGAACATAGATGTGGGTTTAGATGGAGACAGCAGCTATATTGGCCATAGCAATCACTTAGAAAAGGGAAGACTTTGCAAAGACAGATCCTTAGCAGAGCCACAGAACGTGAAAAAGCAAACCACCAAATATCTACCTTTAGTGCTGGCAAACTTCATTTTGCTTTGAAGTTTTTAAAAAAAAAAAAGTCTTAGGCAATGGAATTCATTCAGATTTTGTTTCATTGCTGTATTTATGAAAATGAAATAACTATCCTGATGTGGAGACTGATAGCACTATGAGGTAGTTGCTTGATGAATATTTAATATTTTTGCTACGCAGGATTGTCAGCTAAACATTGTATAAAGTAATAGTATTGTACAGGTAACTACTGCTATCGTGCAGTGGTTCAAGATTCAGTCAACGATATCTTTTGATGTCTGCTTTGAATTTCTAAACATCATTGCAATAATTTGTAGAAGATGGTTTCATTCAGCATGAAATTGGGAGATAACTCTTTATGTCACAGCATTCATGTGTGTCTATCTCACGTCCTTATAGCTTATAGATCTTTAACGCGTGTATATCTTCACCATTGTCTGCTGGTTTCACATTTTGATTTTTATGAAAATCTGTATCTGTTATAGAACAGAATGAAAATACATGTATATTCAAATTAAATATTGTTTGATAGCATATGTTGATCTCAATAGTGCTTTGTTTGCAAGAATAAAAGCAGAATCCGTAGAGTCGCGTGTTCTTCAACTGAAGGTAAATATCTGCATATGTAGCTCAGTTGCAGTGGGTAAATAAAAATTGAAAGCTGCATTACTTGTTTGACTTTCTAACTTCTCCATACATTTATTGCAACTTTACTGAATTATCCTACAAAACTTCATTTAAAAAATTAATGTATTTCTAGTGATTCCTGTTCTACTGTGTAACCTAAATTTCCGCTCTGAGAGTATTTTCTGAATATGAATGAGCTTTCAAGTGACTAGTAAACCTATTCTAAGACTTCATTTGAATAAAGAGCAACCTACACGTTTGAACAAGCATAGCGTGCATGTGTTTTATAAGTTAAAAAAATTATATATATAAAACCGCATGCAAGGCATGTTCCAAATACATATATACGTATATTCATATATTCATTATCTATAAATACACATTGTATGTATAAATTATTTATATATTGTGCATGTATACTTTTTTTTTTTACAAATGCACATATAGGGCCTCCTCTTCAACTCATTAAGGTCAAAATCTCTGTCAAATCAGGCTCTCTGTGATTCTTTAGGCCTCCCAAGGAGTCAGGGTCAGACCAGGTGTAGAACTTGGCATCCTGAGCTGTTGTCGTCTGACTATTTATGAGCTAGGAGCCTCCATCCATCACGTACCTCCAGACTTCCTTCTTTTGAGTCTTTTTTTTTTTAATTTTTATGTTGTCTTTCAGAGAACAATGCGAGGAGCTTCGCATACAGTGGATGAAGAAGCATCAGAAGGAATTGTGTGAAGACCGGCTGGCCCAGCTAGCTCTGAAGGAGGAACTGAAAAAGCAAGAGAAGAAGGAGGAGCAGATGTTTGCAGAGCTTTGGGAAGAGGACAGGCTGGCTAAGAAGCAAGAGGCGGCAGAGATGCAGAAATCAGCAGAACAGAATCGGGAAATCCTGAATGTGCTCAGCGCCCAGGTAGCGGTGCTCAGTGCTTACAAAGAGGAGGCGAAGCGGCTGAAGGAGGAAGAGGCTCGATTGCTGGTAATTTCCATGTCATTCTCAATTCAGAGTTGTATATAAGGCCCTCCTAATGATAGGCTTACTAGACATTCAGATTAATCCATACCTTATTTGTATCTTCACTGATTCCATTAGTATGTGATACTGTCCTATTATGCTAAGCCTCTTTTCCAGAGTTGTGGCAAATGCATTCCTGTTTACAGAGGGAAATGCATCTTTTGAAACTTAGGATTTTGGCATTCAAAGCCTCTCAGAGCCTTTGTGGGAAATGGAAACGTTTTTAAGCTTTTGCCAGACATCTTTGCAATTTTCTGATTTCCAGTTTCTTGCGGGATAGCTAGAGAGTCTTGTGTCCCAGCTGTAATGCGTAACACCAGATCTCAGACCATGATACACACGTTTAATCATCACGCTAAGTGCACTGGGAGGAAGCAGCAAGAGCGCGCTGTTCCCAGAAGGGAAGGCAAGCCAGGAGCTGATGGTGACAGCAAGGCAGGCAGGCGCGCCATCCTTCCCACAAGGAGTCCCACAGTACCCAAAGAAAGAGAGCAGAGCGGGTTTGCTGATAGTAACTGAGGTCATCTAACAGTCCAGACTGCTCAGCAGGTCTGTAGTGATGATGTTCAAGATGAAGCCAGGAAGTCAAGTCAGCATGGCTGGGTCAGGATCGACCTCAGGCACAGGCGTACCTGCAGCGTAGCTCACGTAGGCACCAAAGGTGAGAGTTTGAGCCTAGCTGCAGCTCCCGAGTGTCTCTTCTCAGCCCTTTCTTGCACCGCTCTTTCCTGGCTCTCCGATCCATGGCTCATGTCGGGGCCGGCTGCGAGCACGGGCAGCCAAGCTCCTGCGGGGAGGTTGCAGAGCCTGTTGGTGCACTCAGGACCCTGCCACGTACATGAGGAGACACATTTCTGTGAGAAATCCCAACTGTTTATGCCCCAGCTGACTGAATTTCAGCATCTACATCCCTTATTTTATATTTTTTTAAAAAAAAATAGCAAGCAGTGTCTAAGCTCTCTCACCTATTAGTGCTGGTTGCTGTTGGGCGCTACATTGCGGGAGGCATTTGGCTGTCTTGACCCAACTTTTCTGGCCACCTTCCTCCTTTTTTTTTTTTTTTTTTCCCTTTCCTTCTTTCCCCCCTCCCATCTCTCCCAGGTGTAGGCTTGCTGTAGTTGTGCTGGCTTTAGTGAGGCTTGCTAGTTCACAGTATTCTTTGTTGACTTTGTGAGTTACGGGAGACTATTTAGTTCAGACTTGGTCTTCATTTTGTAGCTGTTTACATGTAGTGATTGAATGATCACAGGGTACTCTGTTAGGCACTGGAAGCTGATGATGGCAAGATATATATTCAGCTGCTTTTCAAAAATAATGACAATAACGAATCTAAAGCTCTGAAAATCCTAGCTGTAAAACAGTAGAGTCCTTATTCCTGTCTAGACTGTAATGTTTCGCTTATTTAAAAACACTCGGAATAAAATTATTTTCTTGTTACAACTTTTAAGATACTGCCAAACCTTCCAGGCAAAGAACACTGCTACTTTACTGGCCTTTTCAGAAAAATGCTATTAGAATAGAAGACTTCGTAGCTTCCCCTGAAGACAACTGCCTTGGGCTCTGTCAAGGAGATAATTTTCTGGTAAAGTGGTTTAGTGTCTGAAAAAAGGCTTTCTTCAAAGGGCCCATAAAGGAGAGTTTCTGTGTTGAAAATGGGGTGTAATCCTTTTTCAGCAGAAGAGGGATGTGACAGATGGCCTCATTACAAGTTTCTCAGTGCAGGAGTTGGTAGCCTCTAACGATCAGGGTTTCATCTGGGTGAAGGACGCACTATGGACAGCTTAGTGTCTCTGTGTATAATGGTTTCTTCTGGTTGTTGCAACGGAAGTAGATTATTTAGTGAAGCAAAACTTGCACCTTTGCCATGATAGACCATAACTGTGCCTCAAGAGACCTCAGGCTGGATGACAAAACAGGGACAGCAATTCTTGCGTTAGCTATGTTACCTAGATTAGATGCCTTCCTTCCTCCCCGTCTTTTCTCTCTGTTAAAGGGTTGTGATTTCTTGAGGAGGTGATTGAAATCTTGTTATTCTTGCTGTAGTCTCACAAGTGCTAAGACAAGTTTCTGCCATAACACTTTGGTCCTGGCTTGCAGATGGATTGTTGGTAACAATTTCTTTGTACATTTGCAATGTCGTGTTGTGCCATCGTATAAACTTTCATAGACTAAGCACCATGGATCCCATCCTTGGCTACTCTCATACAACTTCACAACGTCATAATTCAGCCTAAGACATGTGCCAACTTGCCCAGTAGGCTGCTAACTATTTCCGCTTTCTTTCTGTCTTACTGTTCAAAGTTTTTTAGATTACTTATGTGGCTCAAATACCATAAACTGAGTTTCAGAGCTGTTTTACCAGCTTCTGAAAGTGAATTTGACCATTCGGGCAAATAGCAAAGTCAGCTTTGGCTTTGAAACACGGCAGGAATCAGTGGGTGCTTCATGGCCAGCATAACAAATTATGTTCCTTAGGAAGTGCAGCTTGTACTTCCGTATGCAGAAGATTAGACGCATCGCTTATGGCAAACCTGATGATGCATGTTAGAATATTTATTCACGTTATGAATATTTATTCACATTTAATTTAAAAACAGGTTAACCAAAACCTGCATACTTTCAAGACCACTGAGGCGTTGTTTCTGAGATCTGTAGATAAATTAATGATGGCCACGTACTGTTTTACGACTATGTGTGAGTGCAGTTGTGCTTGTGAACTTATTCAAATGCAGGATGTTCAGGAATTATGCCAATTAATTCATTGATGCTACTTTGGGATTTTTTTTTCTGGCTAAATAATCTTGAAAATACATGTACCTGTTTGATCTTGAATATGCATTTGCTCTTTTCCATTGTTTCTTTCTTAGAGAACTCAGCTTTATTGTCATTTTTTCTGTTCTTTCCAATATAAAGTGGAATGGTTTGAAGCCATGGAAATTCAGTAACTGTCCATCAACAAATAAGGATCTAATTACTTACTTTGTGCAACCTTATGTCCACTGGAGATGCAGTGCTCTGAACATCCAGCGCAGACATAGGACAGATAATATATGCAGAAACAGGAGAAAAACATGGCTCTGTTGTTGGTTAGTAGTTATGGCTGCGTGTAAAGACTGGGATATAGATCATGTGTGCTGCAATGATATTGATTTCTCTAAAGAGATGACTCCGTCTCTCCACTTGAAATATTTGGAGAACATCAGGCATTCCAGTGTTTTGGTATTGAAGTGCATGTGATAATTAAAGAGAAAAATCTTGAATTCTAATGAATGATATGCTAAAATGTTCATGCTTTAACAGGGCTAATGGATTACACTAATTCTCTAATGTCAGCAAGAAAGGCTTTAAATATTTATCTTTGCTCTTCAATGTTCCAATTAAACTAATTCTAGCCATCACTTAATTTGAAGTTATGCAATGGTTTTACAAGCTGGCTATTTTTACCGTTGTAGGAAGAACAGCAGCAACAGCTTAAGCTAGAAAATGAACAACTTCAGATGGAGAAACTACAGAAACAGAGGGAACACAGGGATATGTTGCTCAGTGCAGCACAGGACAAGCAGAAGCGTCTTAATGAAGAAAAACAAAGTGAACTTGCCCTAGAGATGAAGATCTTAGAAAAATCTCTTCAGGAACCCCAGGAGGACACTGAGGAGAAAACAAAAAGAAAAGTAAGGCCTAGAGGTGTTCATTGTGAAGTTGTGGGGCAATACCTCATCTAGACTAATTTTGTGGCCCTTGGTGAACTGCACAATATGAAAGAGATCAGACTCAAGTCCTTTTCCCTGAACAAGTTGATTATTTTTTTTTTTTGTTGCGTAGCCTGTTGCCTCTCTTCCTGCCAGCGCTCTGCTTCTCTGAAGAAGCCCATTATCTGTTAAAACAACAGTGAGTATTTTAAAGCGTGCTTTGCAATCAGCAAGGCTACCAGGCTAGACAAAAGAGGTAAGGGAGGTTAGAAAAATATTTTTTCTTTCATGGACCTGATTTATTAAATATTTGTAACTGCAGAGGAAAGTAAATATTTAACTGATTCTAATTCATTAATACTAAGAAACAGTTTTAAATCTTTAATAGCTGGATATACAGATGCAAAACCTCACATTAAATATCTTGGAGATGCCTTGAAACGATGGATGTGTCTGTCACTTCCTAAATTTAAAACAAATACCAATTTCAGGGTGAAAACAGATCTCAAGGTAAACTTTAAGAGAGAGCAGGGAGCTGCATTCATTAATATGCTCAAGGTATTTAGGAGCTCATGTAGGTTAGGGAAGCTGTATAAACTCACTGTTAGACCTTGGTACAAAATTACAGGAGGTGATATTTATTTATTATTGTATTTATTGGATCCCAAGGCTTCTAATGCAGGTGAAGTAGCCTGGTCAGCTGTGGCAAGTTTGTAAAACGTCTGTGTTGTAGGCAGCTGAGCTGCCACGGGGGAAGGGATCACTGTATTTTTTCTGCTCTTATGCTGTTGTCCAGGCACTGTCAACCGGCCAGGAAGAAGATTCTGCACAGCTCTCTCCCATAACAGGGTTTGGGATGGAGCTCCAGGCTCCCAGTTCCCACACTGGCTGCTAATGACCACTTCTCTTCATGTTTTGAAAGGCTTCTTTGAACTCATTTACTCAGATCTGCAAATGTCTGTGTGTTTGCAGCAAGAGCTCTTCAAGGAGCAACAGACTTACCTGGCACACCTGGCTCAACAGCTGGAGGAGGAGAAACAGCGAGAAAAAGAAGTGGACAAGCTCCTAGATGAAGAGATCGCAAAGGTTTGGGCCAAGAAGGCTGAGCAAATGCGATTAGAAAAGGAGGCTAGAAAGCAGCTGCTGAAAGATGTCCTGGATACAAGACAACTGCAGATGGAGGAGAAAGGTAAGTAATAACAGCTCGCTGTTTGCGCACCAGACCTACCGCATGAATGCAAGTCTTGGCAAAGGCAGAGGGAGTACAACACGCTGTTTTTGGGAAGCCCATCTGGCCCAGCACGCACAGGCTGTATGGTTGAGTGGACAACAGTGCTACTGTCTCTGAATCTGCTTCTGAAAATTCACTCCTATAGGCATTCCGTACGCTTATTTCCCATTGCTGTCACCATAGCAAAGCCTAGTAAAGTAAGGATTGCATGAGCAAGCAATCATTATTATTAATTATGTTGTTATTATTACGAAGCTCGGAATGTGAAATCTTTTCTATTCTGAGTGGATGAAAACCCAATAAGCTGAGAATACACTTGCCATTGTTTGTGTGCCTCTTCAGAAGCATCAAAACTCAGGCTTGCTATTTAGGCTGCTTGGCTTGAATACAGCCTCGCTGTCCCTTCAAGCTTAGCAGTGCTTTTATCTTCTAAAAGTTGTTTTGGTTGTTGGTTTTATTGTTTGTTTTTTTTTTCAGTGCAGAGAAATGCGAAGGAGCAGGAAGAACTCGCTCAAGAGAGGAAGTTATTAGCTGAAGCAATCACAGAGCTCAAGCACATCGAAGAAGAAAAATATGCGAGGTATTTTTTTTTTTTTATGCTGTTGGTTCATTTCATTGCAGATCAATCTCTTACACTTGTGAGCAGGCTAATTCTCTTAGAGTTAACATCTGAAAATGAGCACTGGGTGGGCTTTCTTCTGTTCAGAGAGGCTCAATAGCAGCCCTGTTATATTGCAGTTAGTATTAAATAGCTAATTCTGATCTCATCATACAAATAATGGTGTTTCATTACATATTTTGGTTTTTGGTTTGGTCTTTTTGGACCATCATGTGACTTACATCCATCGTGTTTATTAAATACATCCCCTCATACTCTGAGGTCTTATTAGGAGTGGCAGTGGTTTGGGGAGGAGGGTTAATGAAAGGTTAGCTCGTTACTTACCTAGGAGAACTAGTGTGTTCAGGCTTATTGCTACACTCCACCTACTCGCATCCTTTAAACAATCATATAGTCAGCCACCAAAATACCAGACTACTGTACGTAACCCAGCTGCACCGGGTTCTCCTTACCTTGCAGTTCCTCAGGGTGAGAATAGTTATACGCAGTAGCTGAAATGTTCCTCTGGGTGTCACGCAAAGCCCACGGCAAAGGGCCTTATTTCACTTGCTCGATTCCCCTTTAGTACTCCTGCCGTTTCTCCGCGCTTGTCCGTGGGAGGTAACTGAGTAGCTCCTTCCAGAGCCAGTATCTATTGTGTTCTCTGATGGCTTCAATGGTAACAATCTCCTAGCTATGGCAGAAATCTCACCGCTCTGAAGGAAACGTGCCGGGCTTCGTTATGGATATGCTTCACTTAGCAAAGATGGCATTCAGTGGTGTCAGTGTTTGCGGTTCAACTGCGTTGCGTTAGCGCACAAGTCTTGACTAGACTATTGGCATTTTAAGTGTCTGTGTGACTCTTGCTCCAGAAGTGCCTGAACGAGTAGGTAGACTTCCACTGCTTCTCCAGAGGGTAGTGAAAGTAATATATGAGTCTTGAGGTAGACTGGAAGAATTTCTTCTGACAGCCATTTCCTAGAATATCAGTACAACGCTGCAGCAGGAGCCTACACTCTGCCTTCCCCGTCGGCAGTAACTTGTTATCTTCAGACCTGAGGGAGTGGAGATGGGGTGGAAGGCTGCTGCACCAATGAGTCTGAGCTGGGAAAGGACTGAGACCTCACGCTCTCATTCTCTGTCCTCTCACCACCACCGTGAAAGGCAAGGAAGGCATGCTGATTACAAGAGGTTGTTCTTGCTCTTTTTTTGGTTTTAATTAAGCACTGATTTTATCATCTGCTTTATAACACAGAGCAGAATGGAATTAATTCTCTGAAGAACATAAGGTTAGCATGTAGCATTTGGTTAATAGAGTGGTAGTTATTCTTAACACCTAAAAGGAGTTTTGAGTGGTTCTTTAGTCTAAGGTTGCATGCTAACAGATTAAATAATAATAATTAAAAAGTTATTTATTATTTTACCTGTACTTCCTAAATAAGCTATTCACATGTCATTTCCAGAAAAGTAAAAGAAGCGAAAGAATACCAGGAGCAACTCAGGGCTCAAATTGCCTATCAACAACAGGCCCGTGATGCTGAGGAAGAAGAGAAGCAGCGAGAATATGAATCGGGTCTAGCAGCAGAGAAAGCTTACCAGGAAAGGATACAGGACATTCTGTCAAGACCGTGTGAGAAACTAGCAAAACCCCACCCTTTGAGAAGAAAGCTAATGTCTAACTCTCAAGAAGATAATTTACGATGATTTTTTTTTTTAGCTCACTTGGTTGCCTTAAAAAAATGTTTTCTAAGGGTGTTTATAACTGACTTGAGTTAGCGGACTCCTCTCTGCTATGATGCTCAAAATACTTAACTGGCAAATACAAGACACGTGGGATTTTTAAAGGCTATTTTTTTGCCATATTGGATTTTCTTTGACAAAATTACTGATCCAAATCAAAACATTTGACATTTTAGTACAAGAATACCGTATGTTCTCTGCAGCGAACTAATGTCTTATTATGACACGAATGATACGTAGGCATTCTTCAAAATCTGCAAGAAGAAAACTCTGTAGAAGGGTTTCAGCAAACTTTTATTAAAATGCCTTTCAGACTGCAAATATTTGCAAAACCTTTTTTTTGTATTTAGACAAGAAGTACCTGGTGACTCATCTTCATTTTCCTTGTTAAATATAAAACTGTGAATCTATTTTACTATGGGCTACACAGTAAAGAGCTGATGTTGTTCCATGTATATTCTGATATATCTGTGGAATATCAGCGTCCCAAAGTTAGTCTGTGAGACCTCTGCTTGGACAGATTTACTTGTGCAGGACTGAGGTCATCCTTTTCTTGCAAAAAGGGTTATTATTTATCATTTTGATGACAACTTTGCCTCTTTGGACTGCCTTGGATTGCCACCAATGCCATAGTCTGAACACACAG